GTTAGGGACATGCAGTCCTTAAGTTTGAATTAGAAGTTCAAAAGCTAAGGACACTTGGTCCTAAAGTTTGAGTTTCAAGTTCAAAACTTAAGGACTGTCTGTCCTTAACTTTGGGTATCAAGTTCAAAAGTTAAGGACATGAGGTCCTTAACTTATAGTTTCAAGTTCAAAACTTAAGGACTATCTGTCCTTAACTTTGAATTCCAAGTTCAAAACTTAAGGACAGACAGTCCTTAAGTTTGACTTGAAGGTTCAAAAGTTAAGGACAAGCAGTCCTTAACTTTGAATTACAAGTTCGAATATTTAGGACACATGGTCATGAACTTTAACTTACAACTTCAAATGTTCAGGACACTTAGTCCTAAAATTAGTCTTACAATCACAGAAGTTAAGGACGTAGTGAAATACATTAAGGGACTTACTCTTTTTTGCAACCTCTCCTTTTCTCCTTGCGCAACCACGCAATGAATTTCTTCATTAATTTTGCATCTTCTGTGGCATAATGAAAAATACACCTACGAGTATATGTTGATTTTATCCATCCTGAACTCTTCAGAGTATTTTGATTGTCTGCCATCGAAGTTCCTGCTTTTCTTTCATGATCAAAAGGAGATTTCAACTGCCAACTTAGCTTCTTGTTCCTTTTACCTCGACCAAATTCTTCTTCAACATTTCCTTCAACCTCCATAGTCAAAGCCCCATCAATGCTTATTTGTGTACTTGGAGGAGTAGGAGTAAGAATAGAAAATGACGGACCATCATAACCAATACTGTCTCTCTTTCTTTTCCTCGTATATTGGTTAAGAGCTTCACCATTGTTGTCCTCTGTCAGCAAAACTATATATATATATATATATATATATATATATATAGTTTGCTGCAACTCGTCAAATGAAGAGACAAAATTTCAATTATGAATATAATATTTAGGACACAATCAGTACCTGTCTTCTGCACACTACCTTCTTGTGTTTTTTCAATAGACAATTCAGCTAAGATATTACTTGCATCATTTTCTTTTTCTTCCAATTGCACATTTTCTTTATCTTGCAATTGTTCACCGTGTGCTTCAGTTGCTTGTTCACAAGATTCTGCAAAAATATTTACAAGAGCTAACACAATTAGTACTTGTGAATAATCTTTGATTAAAGCAAACATATATAAAATAAAATAAAACACTGTCTAACCATTTGCAATAGTCAAGATCATCCCAATTATATCATTATCTTCACTAGCATTTTTTTCGGTTCCAATATTGTCGTTAAGAGAGGGAGGTCTAGAGAGATCACATGTTACATCTATGCATTTGGAACCAATCTCACTTCTGCTTGTTCCTTCAGTATTTTCTACGTCTTGAGATTGTATTCCACTTTTCTCTTGATACTCCACTCCAGCTTCTTCCCTTGTAGCTTCAAAAGATTCTGTAACATTTGCAATTAATACCCATTCTAATAATTCACTAAAACTAACGTACAATATATAATGAAAATTTTATCTAACCTTGATTGGCACAAGTTTGAACTCCAAATTTTTCATTGTATGACAGAGGTGTAGACATATCATATGTTCCTTCTAAGCATTTGCATACAATCCCGCTGACACTTGTTCCCAATGGACTTGCTAAATCCTCCTGAGATTGCAATCCACATTTATAAATTTTTTCTGTTTCTCCTTTCTCTTTTGGATTTTCCTGGTCTTGACATTCTCCTACATCTTCAACTTCCACTCCATCAATAGTTTCTACAAATATTTGTAATCACAAAAAAGTTTATATGTATTACTCTATTGAATATAAATTTCAACGAAAAAAAATTCAAAATCTATATCTAACCTTTTCCAATATCAGTAACGTTCTCAGTTTCATCATCTAGATGTGCATCTCTAAAATCGCTTTCATACTGAACTTCTGCATGCACATCCATATCATCATGTTCATCACCGCCTGCATCTTTGTTGATTGTAACAGTAGGCTCTGTATCTTGTTCAACTCCATCTTTTCTAATTGGAACACTAGATTCTCTCTCTATGTTCCTTTCATCAGCTTTTCCATAAATCTTTAACAAAGTATCAAGCTTTGATCCTAGAGTTTTCTTTAAATCCTGAGAAAGAAACTAAGTTAGAAAGTTTGACTTGACGGTTCAAAAGTTAAGGACATGCAATCCTTAAGTTTGAATTACAGGTTGAAAAGTTGAGGACATGAGTCCCTAAGTTTGACTTGACGGTTCAAAAGTTAAGGACAGACAGTCCTTAAGTTTGAATTCCAAGTTCAAAAGTTAAGGACAGGCAGTCCTTAAGTTACAATTACAGGTTAAAAAGTTAAGGACAGACAGTCCTTAACTTTGAATTCCAAGTTCAAAAGTTAAGGACAAGAAGTCCTTAACTTATAGTTTTAAGTTCAAAATTTAAGGATACAAAGTCCTGAACTTGGACTAATTGAAATTAATCATAATACCATGATTTCATTCTCAATCTTTTTTTCTGCTACAGCTATTTTCTGATTTATTCTGGTAACTTCAGCTTGCAGATCCTTCATAAAACTCTCTGATAATCTCTGAATCAAAAAACATAAAAAAAGTGTCGTAAGCAAAAAATAATCAAATAAAAAACTAATTCTATTCAAAGGCAGAAAGACATACTCTAACAAATTCCTTAAGTATGGGTTCATCAAATTGTGTGGAAGAAGGCCTTGAGCTTTGATCTTGTGAAATTGGCTCCTCCACACTAAGAGGCTCTGTATCTTCTTCTTCAACAGGAATAAATGGTGACACCTCGATCAACTTATACAACTATTATATGACAAAAAGTAAATATAAGTTTTCAGAACTAAAACAAATAAACAAAAAAATAGCTAGTAATTACATTAACTTACATTTTCATTATGGAAGTATTTTTTACAAAGAGAATTAAACTGTGGAGATTTTATTTCCGAATAACATAACATCCGAGGATAACCAGATTCTTGGAAGTTCACAAATTGTTTTTCCTGGAAAATAGGAATTACTTCCATAATCCAAACACAAAAGGCAAAAGGAAAGCCAAGTATAGTGTAGCTATCCTTGTCTTTATCTTTGTCTTTCTCTTTCTCAATCTCATTCGTCTTCAAACAACTCTTCAATGATTTTAATAGCGTGTCATAAGAAAGAGAGCCCCAATTGAAAGAAGAGCAGACTACATCATCGTCGATAATTTTCATTATCTGCTCGGACACATTCCTATTCTTCTGCTTGCCCATCAAAATAGATTCAACAAAATAAATTGTTGCCAACTTTACAGCATCATCATCGCTGCCTACAAATGACGAAGCTATACCATGTGGGTGACTAGAAATAAAATTAAACAAATCACCCAACTCAATTCTATCCTTTCCGGGGAAATAGACTTTCGAAAGCCTATTCTCTTTCTCATGTAAACCTTTGATGTCCAGCGAGAAATAACACTTCAAACCAGTAATTAGATGAAATGCGTTACGTATAAACTTAATTTCACGGTCAAATACCTTGAATGTCATCGAATCAGGGTCATTAAGCATAATTTCTGAAAGCAATATACAGTGAATAAGTTTACCATAGAACTTCACACTTTGTAATCGGAAGAAGTTGCCGAAAATACCATCCCTCAACTTCTTCCACTGCCTGTTTGACAAAAAACTTTTAATTGTTTCCTTATACTGTAAATCTCCTTTCCAATACACCATAAAATTACGCCAATCATCAAACTTGAACACACGATCTCCTTCCATTATCACACTACAAAGAAGGAAAAAGAAAACAATGATTAGGACTTACAGTTAGTTGGAGGGACTTGGTCCTTAACTTCAAGTTTCACGTAAAAAAGTTAAGGACAAACAGTCCTTAACTTAAAGTTTAAAGTTGAAAAGTTAAGGACAATAGGTCCTGAACTTCAAATTTGTAGTTCAAAAGTTAAGGACACTTGGTCCTTAACTTCAAGTTTCAAGTTTAAAAGTTAAGGACATGCAGTCCTTAACTTTGAATTCCAAGTTCAAAAGTAAAGGACACTTAGTCTTTAACTTAGAGTTACAAGTTAAAGAGGTAAGAATAGGCAGGCCTTAACTTATAGTTTCAAGTTCAAAAGGTAAGGACACTAGGTCCTTAACTTCAAGTTTCAAGTTAAAAAGTTAAGGACAGGCAGTCCTTAACTTATAGTTTCAAGTTGAAAAGTTAAGGACACTTGGTCCTGAACTTCAACTTTCAAGTTCCAAAGTTAAGGACACTTAGTCCTTAACTTCAAGTTTCAAGTTCAAAAGTTAAGGACACTCAGTCCTTAACTTTGAGTTCCAACTTCAAAAGTTAATGTCGTTTGATCCTTATCTTTCATGAACACAGTTAACTAAAAATTCAGAAACACAGTAAGCTTATGATTTTCTACGACTATTTTTATGAAATGTCCTTACATAATCAAATATATTGAATCAACCACAAACACATTACACATTTCAACACCAAAAATTTCTGAATAACAGCATCACAAAAATACGCTACTTCTCCGACACTGAATCAACTTATAATGATCATTTTTGAAATTTCACACATACTTGACAGGGCATTGAACGCGATTACACATATAGAAAAACAAAAATGTATAAAACAAAAAAAAATTACCAGTTAGATCGATCGATTCAGAGAAGATGACAGGGAAGATGAAGAAGGAGAAAGATTAACTGAAGCTCGTTTGCATGCGAGGATCATACAGTAGCAGAGAACACGCGAACTTGCCCCTCTCTCAAATTTCCCTCTTCTGAATGAAAAAACAAGGGTTTTGGGCCTTTTGGCATATGAAGGAAGGGTAAAACAGTTTTTTCCCTATTAGTAGTGGCTATTTTTGCTGAGCATTATAATTAGTGGATAAAAATTAAAGTCACCCTTAATTAGTGGCTACTACACGCCATTTTTACTCTAGACACTAGCGGTGAACGCAGCCCAAGAGCGGCCCAACTTATGTGGATAAAGGGCAACATAGTCAATAAATAAAAATTCAAGAAGGCGGGTTCACCCTGATTTTTCACGGACAGAAAAAACCCTTCTCCCCACTCTCAAGTCTTATCTCTCTGCAAATTCAAAAAACACCAAAAGCTACACTCGAGAAAGAAGATAATGGCGGTGTCCTTGGGCTCATTCTCGATATTCTCTTCCGCCGGCGAAACGGCGTCGTTTGTGAAATCAGCTTCGTCTTATTCCATTAAGCTCGCTTCTCCTCTTGCTGCTCATCATGCTAATCTGCGCACTGTGCGCATGGTTACCTTCGCCACAGCTTCTAAGCCGGTGGCTGCAGAGCCGAAGAAGCGTGAACCGAGGGGGATTATGAAGCCGCGTCGAGTTTCGCCGGAAATGCAGGCATTCCTTGGTGGAATTGCTGAGATTCCTCGTACTCAAGCCCTCAAGTTGATTTGGGCCCACATCAAAGAGAACAACCTTCAGGTATACCTCCATTTTCGCTCCGCTAATCTGTTATTATGACGATATTGGGGATTTGCTGTTTAATAGTGTTCTTTTTCGTGGTTGTTTTTTGCTATACGTGTTTATATGTTGTGTATTGTTTAGGTGGGTTAACTGTAGAATGAGTGAGCCCCCAGGGTTTTGGTCTAGTAAGAGCATAGTGCGTGATGTGTGGGAGCAGGTCACGGGTTCACCCACCGATATAAGCATGGTATTTTAGTGGAGAAGGGTAGACCCATTATCCACCGAGTTTTTAAAAAGGACACTTTAGAATTAGTGGATTTTCGGATTTAGTTTATTTTGCTAACTTGGCAATTGCTGAAAGGTTGAGTGTGGTTTCTTTCTGATTAGGGGTTTAAGAGGTTTGTTCATTGGTAATTTTCTGTGTTGTGTTGTAGTGATGTTTGTTTTAGGATTGATTTGGTTGTCTATGATGTGTGTTTCAACTGATATTATCTAAGTAATTAGATTTATAGTGATATGACTATGCTTTAAACCTTCACCTGATATGCATATATGGAACTTGTTAAGCTTTTGTTGGTTCTGATGAAAGGATGCCTTTTTAAGGTATCTATTGGTTGGTTATATCATAAATTTGTAACGTATTGTAACATTTCTTTGTTGAAATGGAGTATCTCCATTTTTCTTACTTTATTGGTATCTTTTTGGCAATGTTACTGTCTTTTAGATATGCAACATGCAACCTATGTCCTCTCAAAGGCTTTTGAGGATCAGTTGCAGGCTTTCACATTTACTAGCTTTCAGTGAAGAAGTGGTGGTTTGATTCTTGCTGGTATTAAAACTAGTGCTATTGATTCAAAAGGGAAAATAATCTGTAAAAAAGTGCAGTAAAGATAAGTTTCTTTTATTTGGTCGTCCAGCAGAAGCATTCTCAAATAAAAAGGTGGAGATAAAGACAACTAGAGTGTCATCCTGTTCCTGTAAATCCGTTGAGAAGTCTTACCAAGCGTATGCACTTATCTAAAAAAGTCATACCAAGTGTATGGATTGTTTCTTTGATATTACTATGGGTCCCGACTTCAGAGACATTTTCCTAACTGTTAATCTTCCCTTTTAAAACCAATCCTGGTGAAGCCTTATCGCTATATCCTTTTTGTGCGGCAAGTTGCTGACTTGCTGTCCTCTCTATCTGAAGCTTTATGGCATTTCGTTTTCATGCTCAGTTATCAAATTTCCATCAGGATGCTTAATGTGGTAAAGAATGAGGGAGGTGACATATTTTTTAGTTTGGGAAAGATCCATGATTTTTGAAGTCATGGAAACTGGCTATCAATGCAGCTTTTTCTTTACTTGTGCTAGTTGTTTTGATCAATCTTTGATTTGTTTGTGGGTGGACTTTGGTTTACGTTTATCAAATTTCATTCACTTATATAACATCAAGAATCAATGAATTTATTGTGGGACTTTTATGATGCTTTATCATTTGTACAAGTCTTATGTAATATTTATCCAGAAATTTGTTGCGAGAGAGTATATCACTATGTTGTTTCTAATCTATACAATGTTATATGCAATAAGGCATTGCTGATTTGTGCTTCAGCATGCTGCTGATTTTCTGCCTGTTTCCATCTAGATATCATCTAAAATATCTACTGAAGGTTTGGAACTTTGTTGCAACTGTAACTACAAAGAGTGCATAGGGCTTGTGGACCAGTTTCTTCTATCACTCTATTAATTTTAATGTGTAGTTAGTACATTAAACCCTATAGATTTGTCTTTGTTTATTTATTATCTGTTTTTAGCTATTTGTTGATGATGTGGTTTCTATAATTTACTTGAGAAACTCCTGAAAAGATTTCTGCTAGTTATGTCCACTGTGTGTGGTTCTTACACTTTTGAGATGCATTAGCTATAATGTGTAGTTTCGTTTATCCTACTCATTTGGTAGTGTATCTGATTAACATCTATGCATCAAAGGTTGATCCGATACTTAATGACCTTTTACCATTGTAGGATCCTCAAAACAAGAAGGTCATAATCTGTGATGAGAAGTTGAAGAATATTTTTGCTGGAAAGGATCGTGTTGGGTTCCTTGAGATTGCTGGTTTGATTAGTCCGCACTTTCTTAAGTGATCTAAGGAAAGCATAGAAGGGCAGCTCTTTTTTGTAAATTAGTCTTCTAGATTGGGTGATAGTATCTATTAGGAACATTGCTGCTTTATCAATTATCTAAACTTCTTTGAAGGTGCTTTAATCTATGAAGCTCGCTCTTTTGTGAAAATTGATTGGTGATTTTGGTTTTCCTATCTTCACAGGAAGATTTTCCAATGCAAGATTAGTAGCAAGTGGGTTGTCAATCTTAAACTTATTGCAGCTTTATATGCTGTACGAAATGTATGAGGCACCTTTAGTAAAATTTGCGCGTGGTTGCAGCATTACTGGATTCTGATATGGTCAAATGTACTAAGTATTTGGGTTTTTACCTTGCATGTGTATGACTATATCCAGTATTATTCAATGTTTGAAGTTCGGGGAATCATTAGCCCATTCACTTTACTTGCAGGACTAATAATGCTTCAATTTTTGTCATCACTTATCACTGCTCAAGCCTGTGAAAGATAGAATATTGTGTATACTGGTAAAATTGGGCTTGCATTATTTCGAGATCAGATAATTGCATCGAGGGTCAGCCTCGTAATGGATCAAACCTGAACACGGAGACAACGTGCCGAGGATCAAACCTGAACACGGAGACTACGTGCCGAGTTCGGGGATCAAGGCACTCGTCAAGATTGAGGTCCTCGACGATCGAGATCGGATATGACTAGCTTTGAGCGGAACACAATAATGGAAAGGCGAAATATCCGTAGCCGGTCGGAGATCACGACGGAGATCTCGGAACGGATCAAATCAAGGGCGGTTATTTGTATCAATCATGGGATTTACTTCCGTAATTAGAATTGTACCTCAATTAGGATTTCTCTTGTATATAAAGAGGGATCCCCATCATTTGCAGACACTTATACATTCATACAGATTAAGGCAATATAATACTTCTTTCTTCTGCTCATCAGCTCAATGCTCTATAACTATTGTTCTTCAACTGTTGTTCTTTAACTGTTCTTGCTTTACTACTCTCGAGGGTTCATCAACTCGAGGATACTGTCCAAACTTCGGTTGGTTTTATATTCTTGTCAATTTCATCATTATCCCTAAGTTAATCAATTGGTATTAAGTGAAATAACATATCCTTAAAATCACATTACAAGTTTAATTGTTACTCGATTTTTAGGGTAAACAGTTTGGCGCCCACCGTGGGGCTAAAGATAATAGTAATTGCTTAATATTTTAGCCTTCATAACACACACTACTTTTACGCTTGTTCTTGTAAGTATTTTTGATTTCAGGAATCAACATGTCAAACTCTCAAGTAGTACCTACCCACACTGACATTGGCCTTCGTCTTCATGGCGATAACAAGCACATAGTCGCCCTGGAAAACGGAGTACCTCCAATCAATCCCGATGGACCACAGGCCGTAAATGGACCACAGGCCGTAGATCCAATCGATGTCAATTCACGTGTTGCGATTCATGGAAATTTAGGCGCCGACACCCTGAAACAGCGTCCGCAGAGACGCCCGGGAAGCCGATCAGAATGCACAGAGTGGTGAAGAAGGTGGGGTTAGCCTTCGAATGATATTTGAAATGTTGCAAACCCAGCAGGCTGCGATAGCGCAACCCCAATATCAGAATCGAGTACCACGCAGAATCGAACTCGATACGTCATAGGAAGTTGTTCATAGAGTTGAACTTGTACATGAGAAATTGGACGATAGTGGATCAGGGACTGATCTCGCCATCATGAAGATGCTCGAGGAGCTCACCAAACGGATTGAACCAGGAGAAAATAAGATTGAGGCTAATGATAAAAAGGTAGAAACGTACAACTCACGAGTTGACCAAATACCGGGGGCACCCCCGATCCTAAAGGGTTTGGATTCGAAGAAGTTCGTGCAGAAGTCTTTTCCTCAAAGTGTGGCTCCGAAGCCCATTCCTAAGAAGTTCCGTATGCGGGACATCCCCAAGTACAACGGGACCACCGATCCTAATGAACACATCACTTCGTACACATGCAGAATAAAGGGAAAAGACTCAGAAGATGATGAGATTGAATCTGTTTTGCTGAATTTTTTTGGAGAAACCTTATCGAAGGGAGCAATGATATGGTACCACAACCAGCCGCCCAATTCCATCAATCGCCATGCTCGCCGATTCGTTCGTAAAGGCACACGCCGAAGCAATAAAAGTCGTAACCAGGAAGTCAGACCTCTTCAAAGTGAGACAAGGACAATGAGATGCTAAGGGAATTTGTATCTCGATTTCAGATGGAACGCATGGACCTACCCCCGGTTACCGATGATTGGGCTGTCCAAGCCTTTACCCAGGCTTTGAACGAGCGAAGTTCGATAGCATCACATCAGCTAAAGCAGAATTTGATTGAATATCTAGCAGTGACCTTGGCTGATGTGCATAATTGATACCAATTAAAGATCAGAGTCGAGGATGATCAGTTGGGAGCTCCACCCAGTACCGTTTACCCAAATAGGTCCGAAGGCAGGGTTCAAAGAGACATCGATAGAGAACCCCGATCGAACAGAGACGATATCATCCACATACTGCAGATCGAAGAAATAACGGACCGAGACGTAATCCCACTAAAAACGATCGAAGGATTGATCGAGGTCAAAATTCTCGAGGGTCATGACTAAGAGTGGCTTAGATAAACACGTTGAGCCTAAGGAGGCACCACGACTATCATAGTACAACTTCAGTGTCGATGCTTCAGGTATTGTGTCAGCCATTGGACGAATCAAAGATACTAGGTGGCCCCGACCCCTACAGACTGATCTAGCTCAAAGGAATCCAAATCAAATGTGAAAGTACCATGGAACCCATGGTCATAGAACCGAAGACTGTAGACAGTTAAGGGAGGAGGCAACTCGCATATTCAACGAGGGTCATCTTCGAGAGTTCTTGAGTGACCGAGCAAAAAATTACTTCAGAGACAGGGATGAAAACAGGAAAAACAAACAAGAGGAACCACAACACGTGATTCATATGATCGTCGGTGGGGTTGATATCCCTCTGGGTCCGACATTTAGACGCACCAAAGTCACAATCACAAGGGAGAAACGTACACGGGACTACTTACCAGAAGATACGTTATCCTTCAACGACGAGGATGCAGAAGGGATCGAACAACCTCACAACGACGCACTGGTAATTTCTATCCTTATGAATAAAATTCAATTTAAACGTGTGTTGGTTGATTCAGGTAGCTCGGCAAATATTATTCGATCGAGGGTCGTGGAGCAACTCGCCCTTCAGGATCAGATCGTGCTTGCAGCTCGAGTGCTCAACGGTTTCAACATGGCAAGTGAAGCCACCAAAGGGGAAATCATGTTGCCAGTAAACGTGGCCGGGACTATCCAAGAGACAAAGTTCCACGTGATCGAAGGAGATTTGAAGTATAATGCATTGCTCGGAAGGCCTTGGATCCATAATATGAGGGCAGTACCTTCAACGCAAGTCTTGAAATTTCCAACATCGGAAGGAGTCAAAACGGTGTACGGCGAGCAACCAGCAGCCAAAGAGATGTTTGCAATCGATGAGGTGATACCCGTGTCAACTCTAACATCAACAAAGGGACCAGAATCAAAGGAAAAACAGAAGGTCAAATAGCATCCACAATCACCGGCTTCGACCAGATCGAAACAATAGAAAATTATCAAGGACGATGATAGCATGATACCTCGAACCTTCATAATCCCCGATGACTCTGATGCCACGAAGTCAACGGTCGAAGAGCTGGAACAAGTCATACTAATCGAGCACCTTCCCGATCGAAAGGTATACCTGGGCACGGGGTTAACTCTCGAGCTCAGGGAAAAACTCATTAAATTCCTTATTAAAAATATGGATTATTTTGCTTGGTCCAACCTTGACATGACAGGGATCCCACCGGAGATCACCATTCATCAACTGAGTCTGAGGTAAAAAACACATTCATCAAGGACGAGGTAACCAAACTTCTCAACATAGGATCCATCCGGGAAGTAAAATATCCCGAGTGGTTAGCAAACGTAGTTGTAGTCACCAAGAAGGGGAATAAACTTAGAATGTGTGTAGATTACAAAGACTTAAACAAAGCATGCCCTAAGGACTCTTTTCCACTGCCGAATATCGATCGCATGATCGATGCCATGGCCGGCCACGAGATCTTCAGTTTTTTCGATGCCTACTCCGGGTACAACCAAATAAAAATGAACCCGGAGGATCAGGAAAAGACCTCATTTATCACTAAGTACGGTACTTATTGCTACAATGTAATGCTGTTTGGGCTAAAAAATGCTGGTGCTACCTACCAACGCCTAGTAAACCGTATGTTCGAAGAAAAAATAGGTAAATTAATAGAAGTTTATATTGATTACGTGCTAGTTAAGTCATTGCGTGCAGAGGACCATTTGACACATTTGCAGGAGACCTTCGACATCTTGAGAAAATACAACATGAAGCTTAACCCCGAGAAATGCGTATTCGGGGTCGGTTCATGCAGGTTCCTCGGCTTTATGCTATCAAATCGGGGAATCGAGATTAACCCCGATAAAATCAAGGCAATCGAAGACATCACCGTCGTAGACAGTGTTAAAGCCGTGCAAAGGCTAACACGACTGATAGCTGTGTTAGGCCGGTTCATCTCGAGGTCTTTTAATCGAAGCCACTTGTTCTTCTCACTTCTCAAAAAGAAAAACAATTTTACTTGGACTCCGAAATGCCAATAGGCATTGGAAGAACTAAAGCGGTATCGTTATTGCCTGTCGTTGCTTCATACTTCGAAAGCGAACGAGCAACTCTACTTATATCTGGCAGTCTCGGAGGTCGCGGTAAGTGGTTTCTTAGTTCGAGAAGAATAAGGCACGCAATTTCCTGTTTATTATGTAAGTCGAACTCTAGGAGAAGCAGAAACTAGATATCCACACTTAGAGAAATTGGCACTTGCACTGATAACCGCCTCTAGGAAGCTAAAACCGTATCTTCAATGTCACCCAATTTGTGTTGTTACCACATATCCCCTTCGCAACATTCTACACAAGCCCGAGCTCTCAGGACGACTGGCTAAATGGATCGTCGAAATCAGCGGGTACAATATCGAGTATCAACCCCGGACGGCAAGTCTCAAATCTTAGCAGACTTCATGCTCGACTTTACACCAGCCCTCGTGCCCGAGGTTGAAAAGGAGCTATTGCTAAAATCAAGCACATCCTTGGGGGTGTGGACCATTTTCACAGACGATGCTTCGAATGTGAAGGGGTCCGGGCTAGGCATCGTTCTGAAGCCACCCACAGGCAATACGATTAGACAATCTATCAAAACCCCTAAGTTGACTAACAATGAGGCCGAGTATGAGGCCATGATTGCAGGTCTCGAACTGGCTAAAAGTTTGGGAGCTGAAGTCATCGAGGCCAAATGTGATTCCCGGCTCGTGGTT